AGCTAAATTAATTTAATATAAAAAACATAAATGAGAGAAATCGAAACCATTCCAGTACATCAAGCGAATGTTAAATGATCGTTGGGAATTATGATCTCGAATCTGTTTATTCAAAATTATATTAATTTTGTTTGTGCTGATCTACTAATTTGTCGTCATCACCAGTCACTTCCCCAGGAAGATAATGGAGAACAAACAAATTCAATTAATTATAATCTTTACTTAATAGTTCAAAATGTTGTTAGTTTACTCGATGTAAGGAACACATGCACATTATATTCAAAATATCTCATCGATAAAATAATCGAAGAGTTTCCTTTCCCAAATTCTTATCTGAATTTTTATCTTATAGTTTGTCATATGTCATTTCATGAAATAGTTTTATAGAGGACTTTTTGCCATTTCTTGAAGAGGATTGTACTATATGAACGATAACATAAATTGTACCGTCTCTAGCCGTTCCGAAAATAATCTAAAAATGAGAATGTGTGAAAATAGTCATGCGGAATGGCATGCAATCACACCAAATTTTTTTTAAGCTTTTTCAATTACCACATGTCCAAGGAGGCCGTGTACGTAGTAGAGCCAAGCAGAACGTCAGGTGGTCGATACCAAAGCGTCACTACCTCATGGCTATAGGTTCGACTAGGTACAGATTTAGCGCGTGCAAGCCCGAAGTCGGCAAGTTTCAAATCACCCGTTTCAGAGATCAGCAAATTCTGTGGCTTTAGATCTCGATGCAGAACATGTCGATCATGGCAATAGGCCAGTCCCCGAAGCAATTGAAAGAGCAGAAGCTATTTTTTAAATATTAAAAGAAGAAGAACATTTTAAAATCTGACCACCTAAATATACCTCGGAAGCCAGCCGCTATTTGCTTAGCTCGACAACCGAGATTGAGCAATAGGACGCATGATTGTTGGGTGAGTATAAAGCAGAATAAAAAATAAAATAAAACAAAACAAAAGAAGCTCTAAAAATATTCATACTTCAAATATGGCAAATTACATGAGTGATTCGCCTAGCTGTCCTAAATTTAAAAACCCAGCTAAATATGCTATATGGATGGCTATCCTAAAATTACCGCGTAATCGTTCAAGCAAAGAACTTTTTACAAACAAGGCATTAAATATGTTAAGATATACGTTCAGCCAGAACAATAAGTTAAGGATAAATTTGATTATGATAGAAATCTAAAACGCAGAGATAAATGTTTAAAACAGTAATCGCCGGAAAAAGATAGCCATCTTGGTGTTTAATGCCCTGATATATAATTTTATCCATGTTTACCACAACTCACAGGAAAGCAGTGCAGAACTCATCCGGACTAAGAAGAGTAATTTGCATTCTTTACCATAATTAATGTGAAACATACTCAATTAATTGATAAAGCTAGCAAAGATGGGTAAAGCTTGAAAACTAGTGCATTTCTTTACCTGCCTCCATAGTAAACTCTATTACTAGTCATTATTTGAGAAAGACTAGCTAGTGATTGCATTTCAACATCGATAAAATAAAAATTTCTCTGCAGATGAGGTGACCTTTACGTGCTACTGAAGGCCTGAGAAATAGCGCCTGGAGTAAAATGTACACTGGGGCTGGAAGCGAGTGAAACTGATCAACCGGAAAGATAAGAAACGGATCTACAGGCACATGAGTGAGACCAGGATAGGAGGTCCGAGTCTGATCAGCAAATCAAGAGGAAAGGAAGGCAAGTCAAGCGGCAGGTGTGATGACGCCATGCTAAACTTGCTAAAAAAGGACACACCTCTGGAGGAGTAATATAAATAAATCAGAAGTTGTGATTGAACAGGAATGAGACTAGAGGATAAGGAGTAGATAGATGAGCCAGGACAGAAAGAGGAGTGATAGTACAACTATTTCGGCAGAAAGTAGTCAGGGGATGGACTTCATTTGTCTCTGACGAAGTGTAGCTTGGTGCCGAGAATGACATGAATCACTGACGATGCCCATTACGATGCCGGCGAAACG